GGTCATAAGGGAGAATGAAGGTCATCTCTCAATGATCCAGGGATCTGTATATCAAGATGATCTCACACTCCTAAATGTATATGTACCAAAGAAGTACCAGTAAAATACTTAAAAGAACTGCTAATAGGCTTGAAGAGCAACATCGATAGCAACACAATAGTAGTTGGAGACCTCAATACCATTTTGTCACCTCCTGATACATCAACTAGCAAAGCTCAGCAAGAATATACTTTATTTGAGGGAAGAAATGAAAGAGTTTTATATATATAAATATGTGTATATACGTATACACACACATATGTGGCTTTGCATCTCCCAAAAGGTGAATACACATTTTTTTCTAGTGCATGTGAAATGTTCTCCATGATAGACCATGTGCTGGGCCACAAAACATACCTCCATAAAATTAAGAGGTTAAGAGAATAGAAGTTGTATCAATGATTTTTTTTTGGTCACACCCGGCAATGCACAGGGGTTATTCCTGGCTCTGCACTCAGGAATTACTCCTGGTGGTGCTCAGGGGACCATATGGGATGCTGGGAATTGAACTCGGGTCGGCCGCATGCAAGGCAAACGCCCTGCCTGCTGTGCTATCACTCTAGCCCCCAGTGGTCTTTTTAGACTATGATGCACTGAAAATAGAAGTTGTCACACACAGAAACAGATCAAATGAAACACCTGGAAATTAAACAGTTTGCTATGAACGACCAGTGGTTTAGAGAAGAAATCAAAGAGGAAATCAGAAGATTTCTGGAAACAAATAGGACAGAAAACATGAGCTACTAAACTTGTGAACCTTTATTTTAGTTTTTTATTGAATATCCATGAGATAGATGATTACAAATCTGTTCATGATTGGGTTTCAGTCATACAATGATCCAACACCCATCCCTCCAAAGTGTGAATTTCCCACCACCAATGTTCCCCGTTTGCTTTCCACCCATTACCCAACACCTCAACACCCCAGCCCCCATCCACCCCACTCCTGCCATCTGCCTCTATGGCAGGCACTTTTCTTCTTTCTCTCCATTTGTGCACTGTGGCTTGCAGTACAGGTATTATGAGGTCATCATGTTGGTTCAGGGCGTTCAGTATTTTAATCGGGAAGGTAAAGCTGGAGTAGCTTTTTAACTGGTTGTGGACATGACTGCTGAGACTTTTGGATGTACAGGAAGTTGGGGGAGGAAGCTCATCCTACCCCCGCAAAAGCCTGGAGACTTCAGTCACAAAACCTGCATATTTGAATTTTCAACAGGTTAATCTCCATGAGGTCCATCCTGAGATGGTGGATTGCAGCTGGGGGCATGGCAGGGATTTTGGATTTTGGAAGCAAGCGGCTGTGGGGTCTCTGCTTGGGCGGGCACCAGGTTTACTTGCCTTCCTCTAATTTGCCCTGGTCTGTTCAGCCTTGCATGGGTCCAGGAGTAACTGTGGCTTTTGATCTCTTTCAAGATTTATTTATGGGTCTCTGAAGCAAGGCTGATAAATGAGTTTGTATAGCTGAGCCAGAGGTGGTTTGTGGGTGTGGCTCCCACGTACCTAAATTTTGGTCATATAATTTCTTGGGAAACTTGGTCCCGAGTTGTTGGGGTCCGGCCAGAGGCACAGCGGCAATTTTGGGGTATCAGGAAGTCTGAAGGCACCATCAGGCTGCTGATGCACTTGCCCCGAGGATACAGGTTGACATGCTGGCAGCACCACACCCCTGGAACTTGTGAACCTTTAAAAAATTCCCTTGCATTTGCAAATAGTCTAGGTATTTAGATGGATAAAATATCCATTTTCCTATCCTAATCACTAGCAGGTTTCTGTAGTGACTTACTGCAAACTTGCATGTGACATTGACAGTTTCACCGGACACTATGTATGTGTATATGGGAAGTTTGGTGGCTGCACTTTGTCATTGGAGGAGCATGGCAGACATTCTTTTTGTGCCATGGATTTCCTTTTGATTTTGTTGTCTCACTGTTACCCTCTCTGAAGCATTAATCTTCATTCACTTACCCCAATCACAATATTTATTTCCTAACGACTAAGCCATTCACTAGCTCCTTTTTTGTAAGATTTCACTAGCTCCATATGTATAAATCTCCAGAAATGTTGGAAATGAATGCCAGCCTCACGTAGGAGGCAGCATTATGATATATAACTCCTACACTGAATATCTGTGGATTGAAGAGGAGGTTAACACTCAAAATTCTAGACCAGTGAGTTCAGTTTGTCCAATAAAAGTATGAAAGCATATTCAGACATTTATCTCCAAAAATTTACATTCAAGTGGACATCCACTTGGTTTTAGAATTGTTAGCCTGTTCACATGGTCCAGGATTTTTCAAACTTAACTCAGTCGATATTTGGAGATGAATAATTCTTTGTTGTTCAGACCATTCTATGAATTATAGTATCTTTAGCAGTACTCTGTTCTCTTCCTATTAGTATCAATAGTACTGTTATCCTAATTTTGACAAATATCTCCAAACATTGCAAAATGTCCTCTGAAAGTGCAAAATCAACTGAGTTGAGAACTATTGGTGCTTGATGGTGTCCCACACTGCAGGACATTACAAGGAGGAAGTGCAGCTCCATGAAGTAAACATGAAGAATCCCAACAGGCCATTGGTGTCTTCTTTGTTCAAATTGTCTGCTTCATGTACGGTATCTACTAAGAGAATACTGACCTTGGAATGTAAAGTCCTGTCTCTGCAGATTCGAAACAGGTCTTTCCTCTTCTCCACACCTGTGTTCCCTTATTTGAAAATGAGGAATGATGTTGTCATACCTCATAGACACTATTGTAATAAAAATGAAATAAGGTTATACACATGCACACATATACACATATACTTGTTGTACTTCCATATTAAATGCACACACATACTTAATAATAGCTCAAATATAAATGCACTTATATGCCAGTATGATGAAAAAAACCAAGTAGAAAAGAAATATCTTCTTGAATTCATCATGATTATAATCTTGTCTGTGGTTCACAGTACTGTTCTATGCAAGGAGGCACAATATGGAATGTTTGGATTTTAAGTTTTATTTTAATTAAAAAAATTTTTTGCAGACAAAGTCTTCTTTAATTCCATGATCAATAGCATTGGAGGCCCTCTGTACAGACAGGTAAAGTTGTCTTGTTCCTTGAGCTGTTAACTTTTTTAAAACTCTCTAATTTTTAAAAAAATTCTGTTTTGCTTCATGTTCACACCTGACTGTTGAGGTCTTACTCGAGCGCTGCACTCAGGGATCACATCTGAAGGGCTCAGGAGACCTCAATATCCCATATTTTAAAAAAAGAAAGAGAAGGTCTTTTCAGCAATTAAAATTTTAACTGCATTAAAAAGATTCCTGTAGCTGTATTTAAGTATTTATTATTATTATTCTTTGCATTTTGTAATCTGACAAGACAGTATAAGAATTTAAATGTCTTGTCAGAGATAGTGGCTTTTAGTTCTCTTGGGGTTTCATTGTAATGAACCTGGTAAATTATTCAGGAAAAGACAAGAAGCCAATGACTGGGCAGCACCTGGTGTTGTATTGTTCATGCCCAAGCACGCAGAGTGCAGATATGGCACTCTACACCTGTCACTGTTCAGGGTTAAATAGGAGTCATGTGTTCAATGACTGTTGAAATAATAATAACTGATTGTATGTATTCTTCCATTTTACTGCACAATAAAAAAACGCTACTAAGTTGTTTCAAAAACACAACGTAGAAGTGGAATTCATTTTAAATTCCCTTTGGTAAAATCACAAACCTGTCTTCTCTATTACAGGATTGATTGCTTTAAAGAAATAGGGGTCTGTGTACCTTTCCTAGCAGGGCTAATTTGAGCCTTTGCTGCTTGTCTTTTGTTCTGCCATGCAGAGCTTCTTTGTAGAGCACAGTGCTTATTTTGCAGACATCTTCTGAGAGAAACAACTCCATCCTCTGTGGTCACTCTGTGGGAATTCTTAGAGCTTCTCAGTTTTTCTGCCTGTAGCAGCTCCTTCAGTAACAAATATTTTGTTATAATGTTGATGAAAGCAAAAACATCCTTCCATATCAAACTAAATGATGTTATTCAAGGACCTGATTTTAATGCATGTCATTTCACTTAAAATCATAGTTTACTATAACCTATCCTGCATTATGTGAGAATTTACCTTAGTAAACTAATAGTTTGAAAGCAAACAAAATTTTTAGCAAAGCACTTGTGTATCTTTTTGTGATTTCAGCTGACTAGACGCAAAATATTTGCCCTCACCAAGAGAACAAGAGTTACAGTGAGCAGCAGACGCTGCCTATGGACAGTGAGACCTGGGCTCCTATCCCAAATCAGCAGAGCTTAAGCCACAGATTATGGGGGAGGTTCTCAGAGGGACCAGGGACTTCCCAGGAAGGACAAAAGACAATCCATACTTAGACAAGTGTCTCATATGTCTAAATACAGATTTTACAAAACCGGGTCCTACAAAGGGTCTTAAAGAAGACTCTAGAGCTTCACACTTATGAATTATTAGAAGCAATTGACTTGGTATTTAATGTATTATTTGTGAAAAGTTTAAAATATATTTATTTAGGTTTATTAAACTTTGTTAATATTCAATATATTTGATACAATATATCAAATTGAAACTGTGTAGTAAACATATAAAATATTTTGAAACCCCTGCATAGTGACACATTTACATATATATGTTTTGTGTATATATGTGTGTGCATTGTTTATTTATTAACAGGTTTTACTTTTCCTGTCTTCCAGGCCCATCTGAAAGTACTTGGAGCCATGACTGCCATCTGGTGGCAAGACCATCACTCGGTGTAATCTAATGGTTACTGAGATGCCCACTCCTGAATCTCCTGTTCTGTGCACTGGCAGCAGGAGGGTCTGCAGGGTGTCTGATGAAGGACCCTAGTGGCACGTGCCTTCACGCCTATCTAAATGGGTTGTTCATTTCATATTCTGAGCCAGAAGCTGGCTCCAAAATGGCACCTCTGAAGAGATTTGAATTGCTCTTGTGTTTTTGTCAAAGGTTACCAGCAGGTAACCTCCCAGCAGGTGGCTAAGACTGTGACTGAGCACACCAGAGGAACATGTAATGACATGGAGCCAGAAATAAACTGCTCTGAATTATGTGACAGTTTCTCTGACCAGGAGCTGGATTGGAGACCCCTTCATGATGTCTGTAGGACAACAATTGTAAGTGAGCAGTCGTGGGGTGCCAGGGCTTCTCATATTGTCTGTGTTGTCATTACTGTTACTTTTGTTGTTAGTGATGTTGGTTATGGTGGTGGCAAGGAGCTGGAGGAGGAGAGGAGGAAATGCTCTGGCAGCTTTGGTGATGATGGGCGGTTCATGTTTGATCCATATGACTTTTGTTCCTAATAGATTCCCTGTTCTGTCCCCAGACTTCTTCCCACTACAGCAGTAAGAACATTTCTTCATTATCTCCTGTACTCTTGGGTATTGTTTGGACTCTTCTCAGCTGTGGACTGCTTCTGATAGTCTTCTTTCTTGGCTTTACAATTCACTACAGGAAGAACAGGTAAGCAACCCCTATGCCTTATAACCTGAAGTAGAGGTCTCCTATAACCTGAAGTAGAGGTCTTCAACTGCTAGCTTGTGGGCCCGTGCTGGCCCACAAGTTTAGAAAAGTTAAAAACTTTGGTTTTGTGGACCTGTATGCAGAACAGGTACTAGCCCACAGGTACAAAATGGTTGAAGAACACTGACCTAAATCATAAAACTCAGAGTGAGAGTCAGGGAAACAGTTCAAAGAACTGGTGCATACTTTCATGTGGAAACCCTGAATTCAATCTCTAGCACCTCATGGACCCACGTACTACTGGATATGATTCTGGTGGCCCCCAGTACTGATGAGCCTAATAATTGAACTGTCCATCAGCATAGCCAGGGTGAGGCCTCCTGAGCACTGCTTGGGAGCTCCCTTCCCTTAAATAAAACAGAATAGAACATACTTCAAAGTGTTACTGCTGTTTTCACATCTGGAGATACCAGCTCCTATCAGCTGGAGTCTCTTTTTATGGCATTAAACTTTATTAAATACATTACCTTGAAATCATTTGGGCCCTGCAGTATGATTCCCTCTTGCAAATGAGAAAGATCTAGTCCATCATTTTGCTTTTACAAGAATATTGTAAGGGATTGTATAATTTAAACCCAAGCACAAAAATTTGTAAGGCTACAACTGTACCTCATGGTATTTCACTAATAAAATTTTTTAAAAATTAACATGGAATATAAATAATCTCATGGTATATCTACCCTTTCAAACCAAATTACTTATAAATTTCTTTCTACAAGATAAAAAAAAAAGACTGTTATAAGGGAATGAAGTCTTTGTAAAGGAGAGTATTGTCCAAAGAGGATAAGGACTTAAAATCAGAGATAATGTAGTGAAATATTCCAAAGAAAAATTACGTTTGTGGATGACTTCGTTGGAACCAGTCTCTGTGGTTCCAGAGAAACATACAGAAACATACAGAATGTTTCTATATGAATAGTGAAGTCCTACAACCAGTCTAGCTATGATAGACAATAAATGTTGTCTGATTGGAAGATGATGGGCACATCAGGGTAAGTATCTATGGTTCACAGGAGTGCAAAAGAGACAAAGAACAACATTTAACTACAGTGATTTCCAGAATCTTGTCTTCACCATTATTCAATCATAACTGTAGGTAGAGTGGGTACCCCAGTGCTGCCCCCAGTGCGTTTTCATTCTGTTCATCAGATGCACTAAACCTACTGCCCATTTCAAAGTATTTGGCTTTCTGTTCTGTTGCCTTATAATCTATGAAATAGTGTTTTTTCTCATCTTAAAATTCTTGGCTCAAACATCACCTCTTTGGAGAAACCTTCTTGGATCTTCCTATCTAGGTGAACAATTGGGGACTTGTCTGTTATGCTTACCATAGTTTCAGACAGACTCTGAAACATATAGATGCTCAGTAAATTTCAATGATCCTAGGAAAAGGGAGATTTAAATCCCAATGATGGCTGCTGCTGAAATGATTAGGAAAAGCACTTATTGCATGATTAGGGAATTATTAAGTATATTGTCTTTTCAAGTGCATGCAACAAGTTTTTATAAGGCAGTTTAATACTCAGTTTGCAAATTGAAAAATAGCATTATTGGTTTGTCTCTTATTCCACTCCACCTAGCAAATCAATGTTTTATAGCATTCATAAGCAAGATTTCTTAAAAGATAGTCTTAAGTTATGACATTGTCCTCTTTTACTGCAAGGAGTGATTGGTATAATGACTTCAAGGACTGAACTTTTTCAGCTGAAGTTGTAGGAATTGATGTTGAAGTTTAAAAAAGGGACATTTCTTTTGTGTTTGAAAACAACTGATTGTTGAAAAAATTACATATCAAGGTTGGTTTTTTGTTATTTTTTTTCACATTTTGGTGACAATGTTTTCTAAAGGACATAAATCTTCCTAAGGACCTGAATTTTGCAGATTTAAATCTACAAAAATCAGTTATGATCCTGTCTTTAAATTGGGTTATTTTGCTTAGGTATTGTATTAGTATTATGTTACCAAGTTAAATATATTTTGAATGTTATGACCATTACTATTTGTCTTACAATAAACTATTTTTATGTGCATTCTTACAGAATAATAGAGTTTTTATTTATTTTTGGTTTTTGTTTGTTTATATTTTTGTTTTGGGCCACACCCTGCTGTGCTCTGGGCTTACTCCTGGCTCTGTGCTTAGGGATTCCTCCTTGTGGTGCTCAGGGAACTAGATGTGCCAGGGATCAAATTCCTGATGGCCACGTGCAAGATCTTACTTGCTCTACTATCTCTCTGACCCCAATTTAAAAAAAAAACAATTTTAATGAAATTAAATAGTATTCTTACAGTTTGGTTTGTAGATATTTAATTTGGGGTAAGATTTTAAAATGCAGTCTACCTGAGAAAAATATTTTTAAAAACTTGAAAAACTCAATAAACTAACTTGTTCCCATTGGCATTTGTATAATCCTGTACCATACAAAAGCAGAACACTCATTATTTTTGAGTGCACATGAAGCATTCACCAAGATAGATCATATTCTGAGCCATGAAAAACAAAATTAAATTTAGTTCAAATTATGCAGACATTGTTCTCCTGACTGCAGTGAAATTAAATTAAAAATGCATAATAGAGTGAGTGCTAGAAAATCCTGAAATATTTAGAAACTTAATAGAATGCTTTAAAAAATGACCCAGGTTCAAGAGGAATCAAAACAGAAAATAGAAAGTAGTTTAAACTGAATGGAAAATGATAAGGCAACATAGCAAAATTTGTTGGATGCCATTAAAGCAGTAGTTAGGGAATATTTATAGCACTAAGCTCCATATTAGGAAAGCAGAGAGTCACCTACAAAACAGAAACAAAGAACAAGTAAGTTAGAAAAATTAACAGAAGAGAAGAAATGATAAATATCAGATTAGAGATTGCTAAAATAAAAAATAGGGGAAAAGTGAACCCAGGCTTTTCATGAATATTAAGAACATTGACCAGCCTCTAGAGAGCACTAATGATTCTACTACATAAGTTGAAAAAATAATAAGACAATGAACAACTATGGTAGCCTGTCTCTAATATGTTCTTCATCTAGTACTACCTCCTGATAGTCACATTTTTATGAAATCTCCTTTCCTAGAGAGTACAAACTAGACTTATAAACTTGCTTATTAATGAGCTGTTCCTTTGGAGATACGGCCACCAAATGACTGACTTCCATCTTGGGTCTCTTTGACTTGTTCACTCGGAGGGAAGCCACCTGCCGGGTTGTGAGCTGCCCTGTGGAGAGGCCTCATGGCAAGGGAATGATATTCCTAGACTTTAGTCACAGGACCTGAAGCTTATAAATAGCGATGTCAGTGTGCTTGAAAATAGATCCTCTGAGGCCTGCAAACAACAAAGTGAATGAGCTTTGAAGTTTATCTCCCCTGACCCCCACCCTGCCATATGCCCCAGAGGACTAAAGCCGTGACCGATGGTGTGGCTGCATTCTGTAAGAAATCCTCAGCCACAGGAATCTAGCCAAGCTGTTTTTGTAGTGTAGAAATACTACCAGCTTTACAGAAGCTCTTCTGAAATGCTGAAAATAGTATTTTCTGATTCACTTTATAAGGCTCGCTTCATCCCAATATCAAAACCTAATAAAGACATTACAAGAAAAGAATTATAATGTCCTTCATGAGCATACAACCAAAATTCTAAACATTTTTTGCCAATTTATATATAACATCAAAATGAATCATAATAGAGTGAAATAGATTCAGATCCATGAATCTGTCAATATAATTCAACATATTTGCCAACTTTAAAAAGAAGACCACATGATCAGTTTAATAGACATAGAAAATCAATCATATCCCTATTTTTATTATGTAAATTAAAGTCACATTAAAACATACATAATCTATTTTACAAATATAATGTATATCATTGTGTATATTATTTACATAAAAATATGTTATATATATTTAATGCCATTAGAATATATGTAATACATATGTAAGTGTATGTATTACATATATTTTACTCCAAGGAACCTGAGGAAAGTAAAATAATATAAATCTGCTCCAGTTAAACTCTCAACAAACTAGGAATACAAAAATAATTTTCAACTCAGCGATGAAAAATCTATAACTAACACCATATTTAATGGTAAACTTTTGATAGCTTTCCCATTAAGTTAATAAAGAAGACAAAATATATGTTTTTATAATATTAGTGTTTCTGGACTGGGGAGATAGTACAGAGATTAAGGCATTCGCCTGTACATGGCCAACCCTGGTTCAATCCTTGGCACCATATATGGTTACTGAGTGCTGCCAAGAATAACCTATGAATGTAGAGCCAAGAGTACACTGGTTTACACCTTATGAATTAATAGAGGAAGAACATGAATTTACTACCCCCCGGTAGACTGATAGTCTATACAGAAAATTCAGTAGAGTATAATCTTTTAAAAAGTTACTAGGCTGGGAAGGTTGAGGTGGATGTGTAATGCAGAGGCAAAGTAGTTACTTAAAGTCTATGGGGCCCTGAGTTCAAACCTTGGAACATCAAAACAACCAAGCAAAAACTATCAGGATCTGTAAGGGAGTGCAAGATTAAAATCAGTGTACAAAACTCACTTGTGGGCTGAAGTGATAGTACAGTGGGTAGGGCATGCACAAGGCAGATCCAGATTCGATCCCTGACATCCCATATGGTCCCCTAAGCACCTTCGGGAGTAATTCCTGAGTACAGAGCGAGGAGTAACTCCTGAGCATTGCCAGTATGCCAAAAAACAAATAAACAGAAGCAAAACCAAAAACAAAAACTCACTTGTATTTCTATACTAAAAATATGTGATTGAAAAGTGAAAGTAAAAGCAGAACCATACTCATGGTGTCTCACTAATAAAAATTTAAAAATAAATAAATATTTTGCATTAAAAAAAGAAAGCAGAACATATTAAAAAATTAAAAACATGAATTATTAGGAGTAAATCTTAGTAATGTGAAATACTTGT